TTTCGATCAATACATGTTATGTTTTAAAGATGTGCTAGACGAGGCTGACACTTGTAAACAATACAACGTGAATAAGCATCGCGGGCAGGATTTCAAGGATCGCGGGCGAAACAAAAGCGACGCGGCTGTTTGTCTAAGTGACGCAGGCTCGCAGTGCTTGAAAGGCCTGGGGAGAACACTGATTACAGGCAAGGTAAAAAACATCTATAATTGTTCATACAATATAATATTCTCGAATTTGATGTTGTTGATTCAATTGTCATAATTTATTACTATCAAACTAATCTTGATCAAACACAAAATGGATTAGAACTAGCAACTATTCTTTGGGGTGACAGCATGGAGTACCTCATCTCCATGGTAACTAAACATATTTGCATTAATTTCAAAGTAATGTAGATTACCACTTTATTTTCAATTGCAATTTATTTTTGCAGAAGAGATAAATCAGTGAGAATAAAATCCAGCAAAAATGTAAACATATGTACTATGGCTAAGAATAAAAAAATAAGAATTCATATGCAAATTAGTTATTAATAGAATATCACCGAAGTTTACCTGTCTAATAATGTTTCATGCAGGCTTCCCTCTTTTCTTGCTTTTTTAAGGTCTGCTCTGTCCTCAGGGTTTACTTTCAGTCTTCGATCTTGGAAACTTTGAAACTTTTTGCTGCAAAAACAAAATAGATAGAAGTTGAATTCAAGGGTGGGGTGGGGTGAGATATTCACAGAAAGATTTGCATACTGGCAACACCCTTTAAACTTTGAAGTTATCTAGTTGCTGAAATTTACATCCCACAACTCAAAATGATTAATTATGTAAATTAGCTGCTTTAATAACCATAATGCAATTACATTTGAGCGGGAAACTGAGATACTTTATCAGATTAAGTAGGTTTTAGGTAAGCAACAACACAATGTTCCCAGAAGAATGAACTCTACAACTCTACATTTGTTTAAAAATCGTTTTTTTCAATCCCCAGATTTTTAACTTTGCATTGGTATTATGTCCACCATCTTGATTCTCTAGCAAAAGATTGTGCGACATCATAGCCACTGTTGTGAAAAATTTAGAAAATGGTTTCATTTATACTTTGAGAATTACTGATGCAAATTAGTTCAAATTTTTGGTGTGCATATTACTCATGTATATATTAATTATTATAACTTATCTATGACTTATTTGTGATTCTAGCGAGCGCTAACTGGGTATAGCATTCATGAACAGAGGTTGAGGATTGAGGATTATTATCATCATTAATAGGAACATTACATTGCATATTACTGCAAACCTCAGATATATTCAACCAGGAAGTTAGTAAAATTGCTCACTAATACAGAGACAACTTTTGATTTGACTGAGCAGATGACCTACCAGACTTGCTACAGTGACAAGTTGTTACACTTTACATAGAGTCTGATTGGTGACAAAATGGAACCTCCAAGTTATATCACAGCCACTAAAGTGATAATGTCATATAGTAGGCCATTTATTTATTTATTTATCCAAAACAAAGTTATCAGTGATTTAGTGCCCAAGTTTACAACAGTCACCTTCTTAGGCACATTGACGAACATACTTCTGTATGCTGTACATAATATATGGAGTAAAATTTGTATAGCAGGGTAGCTTAGCTTCCAGTGTTAATTAATAGTAAAATATTGCTGACTCACATGTAATTTACAAAGAAAAGATGTGACAACTTACACGTAACTAAGCTCGCATGATTTCAGATTTCCTTTGTCCACTTCTGGCACATCATCCTTCTTTTTTTTCACTCTGGGTGCAGAAGAACGAATCTAAAAACACCAAAAAAAAAAACGCAATGTAGTCTTAGTGGTAAACAAACTTTAAGGCAATTAAGAAACGGTTGAATTCACAAATCAATTAGAATGATAGATGATGATGCATGGAACCCAGGTACAATGATAGAAAAGTAACATTTGACCTACAAAAACATCATTGTATTATGGTTATGTGTCTATTGCTGGTTTTGCTTTTACAGTGATTGTACTTAATCCATGGAGTATAAACACATAAATGCAGGGGTAACTCTAACACAAATACTAACTAGCCTTTTGTAATAATATATTCTCTCATTTATTAAGTGTGGTTATACTGCCAAATCTGATATTGTACACTTAGGCCAAATAAAACATATTTGTTTTTTTCCAGTAACGGCCTAAAAAAAATACTGAGTAGGTAGGCAGGGATATGATATGATATGATATATGATATGACATGATATATGATATGACATGACATGACATTATATTATATTACATTATATTATTTTATTTTAACATTTTTGTGAGAACATACTGGTAATTTTGCTTTAATAAATGAAACACATTGAAGAACAAATGTTTAAGGTAGCAAGAAGAATTTGATGATGTCTATTGTCTCATTCAGAACCGTAATTTAGCGTATACAATTAAAAAGCAGTATAGAGTATAGAGGAACAAGTTTGCACAAACTGGACAGTCATTATTTACATAATTACCACGTGACAACAAAAATAGCAAAAATGCGTCATGCATTGTCGGCAATCAAGTCCATTGAAATGTGTCTCGATAATCAAAAGACCTACTGTACTCTTCTGATTTCTACACATGTCATTTTTTAACCCCTAATTATTTCATACTTGGCACCTTTAACAAACTATTATTTTATGACAAAACATTTTCTCAAAAAACCCAGATGTATTTCGCTTTGTCATTATCTTGTTCACGATAAGTGTGAGTTTGAATGTTTTAGCCCAAACGCAATGACGGTGATCACAATAAGCTGTACTGAATCAAAACTTAAATTTGTGAAAAACAGTTTTGGATAATAAAACACTGCAGATTTGCTGCATTATAATTATTATAAACATACACTAAGAATGAAAATTGCAGAAAATTGCTGGCATTTTGAGTCCCGTACTGCTGGAGTGTTCCGGAGACATGGCTTCCATTGTTATGTGAACGTACAATGAGGGATAATCCACAGACAAACATTACTGTCCCACTGTACATGCTGCCTGTGTCCTTCAAGTGTCTCTGAAAAGAGTTCTAATAAAACTATTACTAGTATCATAGTGAAACAAAATGGCGAATGTTCGAAGAAACAATTTGTTGTGTCAAAGTGCGACAAGAAGACCATAGCCAGACAGCATAGAAATCACTGGAAAACAGTCTCTTCTTTAGTTACTGCTTGTGAATTATTGGTGAAAGAAATGCTTGGCCTGGTTTGTATTGCTCAGTTACGGCTTTCTCATGGATAGCAGAATGATTACCAAGTTTGTTACACAAAATCAGTATGAAGATAAGTTTTTCAATTGAAACTGTTTTTGACTATGCTCTATGTGATGTACATTCATTAATTTTAACTCCAAACAAGGCAATCTAGGCAATCAATTTTGTTTTAATTATTAATATTATTTTTGTTTTGTTTTATCTCCCACTTAGCTATTCAAAAGGACATTTTGAGACAATTTATTTTTCAATCCATGTAATGCTGGGCCATAAATATGTAACATGGCATATATTTATGAAAATAATACTGTAGAATGGAAAATATTTACATAGGAAGTACATCCTGATATTTGACCAAATGTTTATTCATTTGATACAAGACAAATACTGTATCACATGGACTTTTTAAATACCTTTAAAAATTCATTTTCTCCTGCGGTTCGACTTTTTGCAATGACCTCTCCCTCATCGTTGGAGGATAAAAAGCAACCATTGTAACAACACAATGCCATTTTACCCTGGAAAATAGAAACCAAAAATGCATAACAGTATATTTAACAAAATTTATATTCCCTACATGTATATATAAAATATAAATAATATCCCCACCACACCCTGTACAGTCCAACCTCATCAAAACAGTCACCCAAAAAACTTCATTAAAATGGTCTTCGAAAACAGGTGGTCTATATTTGATGATCAAAATAAAAAGTTTTTTTTTTTTACAAATATTTATGTATGTAATATTTTGGTCTTTAAACAAAGACGATTTTGCAAAAATATTGCTGAAAGGCTGGTCACATAAAAACAGGTGGAGTTGATAGAGATGTTTTTATACATAGGTTGCTTATACTTTATGTTATTACTTGGTACTGTATACATGTAAAAGTGGTCCTTATATGTCGTTGCATTGTGACGTAATTTAGTTTACATTATTGCCAACCATCTTGCGTCTATCTTATAAGAAATGTTGCTCACTGATCAGCACTAGCTAATGAACTGTTGCGAGAATGTTACCCACAAGTTGTTTTATGAACAGAAACAGATACATGAATGGTATAACAATACTGTTATGGTATTTTATCTTTGAGTGTGACTGATTCAGAACATTTGTTTGAATACTAATAAAACACTTTCACATGACAATCTGAATACACCACTGAATCTATCGCATATACTCACAATTCATCAACAATCACTTGAGATATTATTTCTTAAGGTGTTTCCCTACGTCCCTGTTTATGCAAAAAAGCTGCACATTATTCAAACCAAAATGTAACTTTTCATTCAGTTATTTTTTGATTGTGGTTCCAACATGGAAGTGTTTTGCTTGCTTTATTGATTGAGTGAAACAGAAAATCACCCCACCCCTTCCTCACATGTTGGGTAGGTCATACATGTACCTCATTAAACAAGCATTTTCTTTATCATATTGCCAGGTTGTAGCAAATTTCTCTAAATTTTCGCATAATACTGCTTTTTCATCCCATAGCTTACTAAAAATACCGGTACCTCATAATACAACCATGCCATCGTTGCCAGTTGTGTATTTAACGTCATTCACGATGATTCCCGCTGACGATACAGCTAGAGGTACATAGAATTATTAGCAAACATTTTCGTGAAGGTCATATATGTCAGCCACAAAAAACTCTTAACCAATCATCAGACCTGTTGGCATAAGTAACACTCAAGTTTTTTTTAACCCACAGCTACATCATTACAAGATTACTCACTTCTTGAAACACTGGTTCCCATTTTTCTCTTGGACCAATGGCATCTGAACGACCAATTACTGTACCATTGTTGTCAACAGACAGATATTTACCGTAGCCAGACTTCAAGGCAACCTCAGGTTGCAGTTCGGACGTTCTCACAGCTATTAACTGCTCAGGTGGATGTGGACCTTCTGTGGCTATATCAATTGCAACACAATAAACAACTTTCAATTATTCCTAGGAAAAATATGTAGTCCATTCAAACTAATACGTATACAATGTATGTCTGTGATAAGTTAATGAGGGCAGCTTACACCTATTAGTCTATTTAGACCCACCAGATGAAGTAATGAGATATTGCTGGTTCATATCAAAGTGTTTCAACAGTGATAAATATTTTGTGGCATTAACCATTATTGTAAGAATATAAGTAATTACATAGCCCCCACGAGTTTTCAAGTTTAATAAATAAAGTTTGAACATAAGGGTTAGAGCATGTTAGATATATGGCTCCAGAAATAAATTCACAAGAACAAAATAGCCATCAGTTGCATCAAGGACCTACATGTATGAGGTTCACTGTTCATACCAAGTTTGAACAAAATCTGTCCATGTACGACTGAGATCCAGATTCGAAATTGCAGAAATGCCTGATTTTGATGAATTTTTAACATTAAAACAATTGTAACTCCATCAAAATAAAAGTTATAAAAATTTATTTCACGCAGAATTAAAGCTGTTTAATTTTAAGAATACAGAATTAGTTTTGAACTTACCATCCATATGCATGTCTCCAACTGAGAATATACCAGTGTCCAAAGCAAATAAATATGAATTAATATTCATTTCAATTGCAACTGTACCATGTACTTCATCTATTGAACTCACAGTCCACCAGCCACCTGAAAATAAAATATATCTTTATAATTGTATTCCATACATGTAGGGCTATAAAGCGCACACTTGTGTCAGTCATGAACTCTGCCAGTGAATTTATATCATACTCACCACTGTTACTAACCCAGAACATGCACTCACTCTAAGTACATGTCGACCACCAGGTAGAGTTAGGGTCATGAAAGTTCAAATGCAGTTTAAAATGTCCAAAATTGAGGTATTGTGGCAGATCCTGGTATTGCTCATGTTTTATTATATTTAATATTCAACAAAAATATAAATAAACGCAATAATTTGTTTATGTGTGCTTCTATTGCGGATATGCTTTTGATATACCAAATATGTTAACTGCTTTAATTATTAATAACGGAAAATCCTGAAATTTCATAGCTGTTAAACTTTGTGAAAACGTGGCTCTGAGTGTATAAAAAGGAAAGATGGCAATGAGATTTCGGTATGCAAATCACACTCCATGACGATGTATCTGGTTAGAGTGCTTTGCAAAATGGCTCTTTTTGATAATCAGAATGCATTAAGTATTATATTTTTCTCTTGTGTACCATCATGAATATGTATAGAGCTCGGTAATATTTGTATACTTAGTAAACAATGGGTGTGTCATTCATTTCCCATGATCACTTGTCAAGTTGTGCAATCCCAGGGATTGCAGAGCCACGCTTTAAATGTAGAAAATTTGCAGAGGGGAAAAGAATCAGCTAGGTTCTCTCACCATGTGCTGCTGCATCTTCTTCTTTCTCATCATTCGCATCATCATCACGTTTTCTCTTCTTTTTCTTATGTTTTTTAGAACTGAAAATAGATGTTTTGAAATAAAGTTGCATGATGAGTGATAGTATATAGTTCATTTTTATTTTATTACAAAGCGTACACTGTATATTGTTCAGCCGCCAGGTAATGTTAGCTAGATCTAAACTGTTTTGAGTCAGGTTAGTTTCACATTGTCACCCCCCCCAAAGTAATTAAATATGCCCCTCAAAATAATTATAAGTGACCCAAAGAGGAGTACATTTGTATATACAATTGAAATGGAGGAGGGGTGGAAGGGCAGGGTTAGGATTACGCAAAAAAAGAATGTCTTTTTCTTGGAGAGGTCCTTTTCATGACTATACAGTAACTAATTTTAACTGACACAAATTTTTGTGGAAACGGAATGCTATTAATACCTGTAATAATTTGATGACGTACAAGTATTTATGTGATACTGTGTCAGTGCCTCCCGATGAAATATATGACATATATCTCATTTTTTTCTGAAAGTCAACGAGGTGATACTGTCAAATCCACACCAGTAACACAACAATGAGAATTGTACAAAGAACACGACCATGTCAGGTGCTACATTGCAGCAACGTTTCGATATGTAATATATGGACTATATTGTACTTACCTTACACTCTTGCTTCCCTTCAATTTGAGCTTTCCTGTCTTGACTAGAGAATATGCTGACATAGCTGAATTTATTTATTTTCTTATTTATTTAAAACCTTGTGCGGCGTTCAATGAACATTCAAACCAAAACATCCGCCATGTTATTGTAAATCACATGACAACTCTACGCGAGACTTCCTATACTTTGCAATACAATTCCAATTTTATCGCGCGAGATTTCATCAAACCAAAATGGCGACCTCCATGAAATTGAAATCTCCTCGACTCCTCGGGAATTCTCCATGATCTATCGAGAGACTATCTCCTTGTATTTTGAGGCGATGGAAAAATAATGGTCTTCCCATATGTACTTAATTGTTGTGCGGATATATCTTTATTGATTGATGACCATGATCAAATTTTGTAGCGTTATAGGCAGTCTGGATTGTTTACATGTTTCTATTCAAAGGAACTCATCGTCACTTTTTAAACAGACAATATGCTCACGTTGATATCCAGTGAATCGCGAGGACAGTACATATAGCTCGCATGCCATTTACGTTTGGTGTCGAAATTCATCGAACTATTGAACTGTACTATTTCTCGATACACCATGTTGCTAATAATTATTTTATCCATGGTGATTGGAGGGCTGTGCACAATCGTTTTACAGATCGTGCTGTTCTATTCATACATGAGAAACCAGCCTGTCATCGGTCCGTCCAAAAAGCCTCAGTATGAAAGAGCCAGGATGCAAAAACAGGTGTGTGTGTAACCATGGAGGTCATATGGCGTGATCATGGAGCTAAAAAAAGATTTAGCTCCACGATGTACTTGATAGAGTACTACAAAATTAGAGTGGTTTCAATGGTACATTATTTATGATTAATTGGGCAAGGTGCAGATAAAATTAATACTAATCCGATATGTAAAATGTGTTTATCCAATTTGCATACGAGTTGATTTATAATCAGATGCTGCACTAAAAAAATAATTGTGATGAGCCCTGCAATAGCCTAGTACTTGTTTTTTGTAGTAATACATGTAGTACCAAGTGGAAATCTAATTTTTTAGATGGCATCTATTATAATAAAATTATTAATAATAATAATAAATATTTATTTCGCACTATAGGCCCAGAACTACACAAATTTTATTTAAACATAAATAACTTCAATAACAGTTATACATGTAAACCATTAAATTTCAGATAAATTTCAAAATGCCTTGTATTAGAATTCTACAATACTTAATAGTCTGTGGCCTTTGAAAATGTTTTACATATCAATTATACATTTGGTGCAAAACTGTAAAAACGATACAACTTGTACTTGCAATACTCAAAATTTATGAACAACTAATTTAGCCATGATTGAGAAAAAATTATTCTGCTGATTTGAATGTAACATGGGGTAAATCTCCATGAACAAATGTCATGCCTGGATAAAATTCAATGACCCCATAAAAATATTCCACGCAGTGTTCGCTGGAAAATAAATCAATTAGTATTTGCGAAACTTGGAATCACCAATATTGTTTAGGGGGCTCCTAATCAACATTGCTCTGGGGAGAACTCTGCCATGTAAATAAATTAAAATATTGGCTGAGGTTTTATATTCTAATGCATTGAATAGAGATGTGCATGTGTAGAAATGTGTTTATTTATTTTCCAGTCCAGATAGCACAGTGACATTCAGAAGATTATCATGTGATTCTATTCAATTTATTCATAAGCTCATCACAAATGATTCATTCACTTGCATACACGTGTACGATTCAATGAGAAATGAGTCTGTATGGCTCACCATTTCTGTTTGCACACAAGCCATTTTAAGCCCATTGCATTTGCATTGATTCGTATAGAAGAACTTCATCAACTTTACTGTATTCCCTATTCCCAGAATAAAATTCTCATAATAGTGGATAATTTGCATACAAATATATTATTCAATTACCTCTATTATGTCTATTGTTATGGTAATTTGACTATCAACAATACGATTTTGATTTACGTTTACTAAACAACTTGAACTTAACCTGGAGGATTTAGAAAGCCACAAAAAACTGAATTACTGAAATTATCAGCTGCTGCTGAGAAGCATAGGATTAATGAGCAATAGTCAATATTTAAATCCAAACTACTACATATGTTGATGTTACCATATTGTAATGGTCTATGTTGTTATTATGTACTACCAGTACATGATTCATGGATGCTATCAAGTTGATTGCATAGCTGTCTCACCTGAATGCCTTGATGGCATGAGAATCAAATCTTTCCTTCACAATTTCAATTTAGTTCTAATCCATTTAATATATTTTAGCATTGAAATTGGGTGCTTTTAGAAGTTCAAGCCTATACAACAGTACTGTCCAAGTACTGCCCTAACTTAACATTTAGCTGATTAAAAGCTTGCTTTCAAAACCCTTATACATATAAATTGTCCATCAAAATCTGCCTAAACACGTCTCATAATAGTAACATACATGTAGGTAAATAGGTAACGACTGTAACATTGATGTCATGTAAAAAGTACTATAGTACATGTAATTTACAACTGTGCAGAGCTTGTAATGGATAAAACTGACAATCATGATCAACATTTTCAACAGTGTTGTCGTCACATGCCACATTATTTATATTTTTATCTTGTCAGGATTTGGGAAGTTATCAAGACATTGTTGCGAAGAAAGAACCTTTGGTTTGTTTGAATGTTGTGTTGGCATTCATATTTCGTGAATTAAAAGACACCGATCGTGTGCGTCGATGGGTGGTTAAGAAGATGAATGTAGAGTTTGATGAACTCCTACAATCCAAGACAGTTGGTCGTGTTATGGAAGCAATCACTGTAAGTTGCAGCATTAATTAAAAACGCTCAACAGTCCCATGCTATATGATTGGGTACCAAAATAATGACAGCATCTAAAATACTAGTTACAGCCCTTTGATTTGATGGCAATCATTTGACTCATCATATAGTCAATGTGAAATGCACATTGCAGTGAAGATTGTATTTTATTTAAAAAAGCCAAGCACTATCTGTAGCTGCTCAGTAAATGTGCAACATCATCGTTGACAATGTGCAAGGTACATCGTCAGTGTTCTTCCCCAGACAAAGTAGCTAAATAAAGTCATTATTTGGTAATTTGCATATCTACTTCTATATACGTGGTGAACCCATGATACACGTATTAGTAGTAATTATCACAGTCTTTTTTGTATCCCAGATTTCCTCTCTGTTGTTTAGTGATTAATACAATACTGGTATGTACTTCTAATTTGACTACAGCAGCCATGTTGACCATGCCACAGTGTTTGTTATAATGAATGAAATTCAGAATACCGGGGGGTACTGCATGATGAGAATGGTTCATATCGCTGTTTTTTGGCAAATTCATGCAGGCATCTTGGGACTCACTGTCTGTTGTCTAGACATTGAAACTGGGGTTGGGTTTTATTCAGGTGGTTTAGGGCAGACCGGGTTACTCCAGGTACAAACCTCTTGTTTGAATATGAGATTGTCCCTAAGCATATACGTTACTAATAGAGAAAATACGGTACACAAGTGTGCACAGTAAGATATGGAACACAATTCATTTAATAAATATTTTCTCAGGTTCGTGACTACTCTTTGGGACCAACATTACCAATATTCAAGAATGCTACACTGCTGAAAGCCAAGCCGTCTGACATGACCCAAGTACCTGATGTAAGTTTTCATGTCATTTCAACTGTGTATGATATTGAATACTTGATTTGATAGAACTGGAAAAACCTAACGTTAAAAGAGGGTGTTAAAATTGCCTTAGTGTATAAGAATAATTAATGTTATTGGGAATATCTGTATTTTGATCAGTGCATGGATTTATAAACTGTTTATACCTCCATGATCAGTGCAAACTGGTTGGCCATCAAAGCTATTGCCTTCAATTGCCCTGTGTTTTTTTTTTATTCTCATGCAAAATATATTATTTACATTCAGTTTGAAAATGTCTTAATTAATACTTGCTCTTCCATTTTTCTTTGGTTCTTGGTTCCAAAATATTTGATATCCCTACTTTGTACGTACTTACGATGCATACAATGTAAGACACAAAATAAAATAAAAATATTTATAGTACCGGTAGTGATTTCCATTTTAATATATTCATTTCAATTGTCTATTATGACAATGCATATTTATATTGAAAAAACTATGATAAATATTATATAACAAAGGGCAAGGTCACCAGAGTATAATTATTTTTAATATTCAAATTTATTGAATATTTATTTGAATATTGTGAATATTGATGTTCCAGATTTAAGCAGGGCAATTTTTGGTTGATTCGGCTAATCCTAAATATTTATTTAGCCAAACTATGATGGTTTGTTTTAGAATAATAGTTGATGGATGTTTCCCAGCCAAAACATCAATTAACGTTAGCTACAGGGGGGGGGGGGGGCTCCCTTGCTGCATGTAGGATATTGTACAAAACTGATAGGACTTTTTATTCACAGGAATTAGACATTGGTTTAGATGTAATTTATAATGGAGGATTTCGATTGGCTGTGGATGCTGATTTGGTATTCGGTAAAGCTGTGTATGTCTGTGTTGTATTGAAATATTTGAAAGGACATGGACGATTACAGTTAACCAGACACCCATATACACATTGGTCCTTTGCATTCTTAGAGGTATGGGTTTTCGTAATTATTTTAAAAATTGAACAGTAAACTTTCATCTTTTACCCATCAATACTAACTTCATATGAAATAAGCTTTCTTCCTTCATGATCTAACTACAGGAACCAGAGATGGACTTTGAAGTTGAGTCTCAGTTTGAGGGACGTATGGTTAGTCAACTCGGCTCTCTTATTATTAACCAGGTAAAATCTGTATTTTAAATCTATATACATTTATTGTCACTACCTTTAATATGAACTTCCTGTTGCCTTATTGTTAAACTTTCACAAATATATAATTTGAAATAGATGACATTTTGAGCTCTAACATCATGGAGATAATATAAATCTTTATTGGGTGGACTCGCAATTTTGAAGTTACCGGTACATGACAGAATAAATGATTAACATTTTTAAAGAGGCAATGTGGATAGTTTTTTGAGCATTTTAAAATAATTGCACCTTGAAAGGAATAATATAATATGATTTATCATGAAATAAATGTTTTGGTAGAGACATGCCCAGTATTATTCGCTATGATAAAATACTGCGAAACTCCAGAGCGCATGTGACCCAGATTCAGCTTAAAAATCCTTAAGTTATCCACCTTTGATTAAGGATGTTCAAAGCAAATTGAAGATTATAGCATGTTCATCATACATGTACTATCATTATTATAAGTTCATACCATCAGAATACAAACAAATAAATTTAGGTCGTAGGATAACTTTTTGAAATGCTAGAGTCTGACATGTCAGGCATGAATCATATTATGAGATTATTTATTTATATCTCAAAATTTTGCCTGATGATATTATGATTGTTATTTGTGTAAAATACTGTATTTTAGTTGGAATTAATTTTTGCTGAAAAGGCTTTTGGGATATTTTGTATAGATTTTAATTTCACAGATTTTTTTATGAATTGAATGTAAAATATATAAAAAAAAGTATACCCCCGTTATTTGCTGAATTTTATTTTCACTGAACCATCCTTTCAGCGAAAATAGCAAATTGCACTGTGAATTCAGTTTAAAAATTTGAATATAATTTAGTGAGTTTCCAGGGTGATACTACCGGTAGTTTTCCATTATATACAATGAAATGTAATCTCCATAATGCAGTGCATTGTTACATGTATATGTGCAGTAACATGCTCAGTCGTGCAAAATTTGATTTTAGCGTGAACTGTCTTAAATAGTGAAAAGCTTTGTAGGTGTGCAGGTTGAGTAGGTCACATGTTTGTACATTTTGTCAATCATTGCATGTCTGTTCAATAACTAGTATCATCTGTATCATTGACAATCATTTTACTTGTATATATTTTGATTGCAGATTCGCCGATCAATACGTAAAAAGCACACCTTACCCAATTACAAGATCCGTTACAAACCATTTTTCGTCAAACCAGATCCTCCACATGCGTCGGACGATATCTATGTAAATGATGTTAAGATCAGTGTTGGTAAATTACAAGTCAATATTGTGGAATGTACAAGACTTCCAGCATTGTCTGCAGACTCTGATATATATTGTAGCCTATATGTGGGTAGGTATTAATGTGTAAACGAACTGTGTGATTGTATATGCTCAAAACTCGAAAATTCATAGACAGTTTTGTTACTAATTTATGTAATCAATTATGAATACCAATTAAGCACCAGTTTCTAGATATTACTGTAAATGGACATGAAGTTCTAAAAGCATTTTGATCTTTCAGCTCATATATGCAAATCAGTATGCAAATTAAGTTTTATATGCAAATTAGATACACTCAAATATTACCTGCTTTGTCTATGATTTGTCATTTGGTTTTTCATATCTGATTATAAAGGATTGACTTTACAAAATGTATGTTTTCTCGTTCAAAGATTCCCTACCTTGGAAGGACCGTGGGGGTGTCAGTCGGAAGGTTGGAATACCATATGACACTGTGGAAGTGGAAATCCAACGTGTCAATCCCTCACAAGCCATTGGAGCAATGTTTAAACAAGATACATCACTTGATGATGACCTAGAGGAACTGGTTGTCTTGGAAACTATCACTCCCCAGTCACCTGCTAGTCGTACTGACTTGAAAAAAGTAAGCTTAATTTAGTGATATGCTTTATAACTCATTAATGATGGAAAAGTTTTTTTTGTTTGTTTTTTTTTGCATAAGAATTCAATCTAAACTGGACATGTGCACAGTTTGGATCATTTTATTAAAACACTAGATGAGGGTAATATGCCTGGTTTCAGTTCATTAGAATACATGTTACTTTTGATATATATTATTATATCTGTAATAACATAAAATGTAGAAATGAAAAACAGTTATTGAATAAGTACACTAAATTTGAAAATGTTCATGTTGGCCACCTCTATGAAATAGTGTAACACATCATGAGTCAAATGGCACCATCAAGTTTAGAACAAAGCAAATGCCAAAGCTG